GGTTTAGGGCTTAGGGTTTAGGAAGTGGGGCCTCGGGTGCTTTAGCTGGGCTGCGGCTCGGAAGCTTGCTGCGCAAAAGCCTGCAAGAAGCCCTAAACCCTAAACCCTAAACCCCAAAACCCTAAACCCTAAAGCCCCAGGCAAAAGCCTGATGAAAGCCTTCTTTTAAGTGCCGACTAAAGCCTCAAAGCTCTTCTTGCACATCCTAAATCCTGAACCCCCATAAACCCTAAACTCTATAAACCCTGTAAACTCTAAACCCTGGTCCCTATAAACCCTAACCCCCAAACCCCGTAAACCCTAAACGCTAAACCCTATAAACCCTGAAGCCCTATAAACCCTAAACCCTAAACCCTATAAACCCTATAAACCCTATAAACCCTGAGGCCTAAACCCTATAAACCCTATAAGCCCCAAGCCCTACACCCTATAAACCCTATAAACCCTAAAAATCCTACACCCTAAACCCTAAACCCGATAAGCCCTAAACACTAAACCCGAAACCCTATAAACCCTATAAGCCCTCAAAACCCTGTAAACCCTATAAGCCCTAAAACCCTAAACCCCAAACCCGCCCAACCCTAAACCCCATGAGCCCTAAACCCTAAACCCTAAACCCTATAAACCCTAAACCCTACACCCTATAAGCCTAAACCCTAAACCCTAAACCCTGTAAACCCCTAAACCCTAAATCCTAAACCCTATAAACCCTAACCCTATAAAGCCCAAACCCTGTAAACCCTAAACCTTATAAACCCTAAACCCGGAAGAAGAGGCTGCAGAAAGCGGCAGAGGCCGAGGAGCTGAGCCTTGAGTCGATCTCCACCAAGCCAGGGCGGGAGCCCGTGCGTCCCAGCTCGTGCCAGAGCATCAACTCCTTTTTCGTGCGGGGGGTTTAGGGGTTTGGGGGTTTATAGGGGTTTAGGGCTTAGGGGTTTAGGGGTTGGGGGTTTAGGGTTTAGGGTTTAGGGTTTAGGGTTTAGTTTAGGGTTTGGGGACTCCTTGCGGGCAATTGGTGAAATCCAGAGGTCCGAAGTTCCTACAAGGGTTCCGTTAAGGGTTCCTTTGATTTGTTCCGTTACGGGTTCCTTTAAGGGTTTCTTTCGTCATGGGTTCCGCTAAGGGTTCCGTTAAGGGCTCCTTTCAGGGTTGCTAGATGGGGGGAGACTCACCCAAAGCATACTGGTAGTTCTACTGACAGAGCCACTTGCTACTATGCAGGTACTTAGGACCCCTTTGGTTCAAGGGGCTTGAGAATTTCCCTAGGCTAAAGCTCTTGGGCTTCGTAAAGCTGCTGTAGGGTTTTAACAAACGCTTTTATATGGTTTGGTTTAGGGATTCGGTTTTATGCGGGCTAGGGCTCAAGGGTTTCAGATTAGGGGCTGTTGTAATCGAAGGGCGGAGGTGCGGTTTAGGGTTTAGGGTTTAGGGTTTAGGGTTTAGGGTTTAGGGTTTAGGGTTTAGGGTTTAGGGTAGCATAAATCGAGAGTCCATTGCACCTTGCAAGGAATGAACGTCTGTGCACAACCCCAGTGAGGCCTGAAGTTTTTGAGACCAAACCCTGACGTCCTAACCTGGAACACCACTCTAAAACTGACACAAACATAGCCTTCAATAGCTACTAGCCCCATAGGATTTCGCCGCAGACTGCCGTCAATACCCAACACTCCCACTCCACCACCACAAAACAACACAGCTGCCCCGAAGCATTACACGACGCGCTTTTCTGAAGGCTGATGCTACAAAATACGATGGGAGCCCTAGGCAATACTCCCACTCTCAACTGTTCACGTCCACACAAGCGCTCCTGTAGAGAGGTCTAGAGTTCTAAGGTTGAAAGCAGGGGCCCCTGGTATGGGCCCTTAACCCTGGGATCCTTATACACCTAGTTTATTATATCCCTATATGTACCCTTAAGGGTCCCTAGAAAGGTCTAAAGGTCCATATTTGGGGCCCATACTTGAAAACTCTAGAAAAGTATGATAAGGACTGTCTTGTAAAAAGGCGTGTGAGATTCAGGATTGGGGTCGCTAGGAATTATGACCCTTTGTGAAGCCGCATAATATGGGGGCCTTGATAATTAGAATGGGCTCTTAGGGTTTAGGGTTTAGGGTTTAGGCTTTAGGGTTTAGGGTTTATTATTATACTATAAGTAGAATAAGGAACCCCCTAATTATTTAGGCCCCTTAAATTGAGCCTTTATGAAACCTGTAAGCCCATAGAGGATGCCGGAGTCTCCAACCAGAAGGAGTCCGTGGAAACGTCGACCTCATCCAGCCGCTTTTGCAGAGACACCAGGTCCGACCGCAGCTGTGTGACCTTGCAGCAGATTCGGTTTTGGCGGTTGGATGTTGGGCTTAGGGTTTCAGCTGTTGGTTATAGGGCTCCGGACACAGTTCCTTCCCGGGTACGGAGGCTGCGCCTAATAGCCAGGAGTCCGACAAATGAAGGACTGCGCTATGCAGTCAAGTGCTCTGTCATCTTTGGCCTTAGAAAAATGGCCGCCAGATCTCCGTTTGGTCTAGGGTTTAGGGTTTAGGATTTAGGGTTTAGGGTTTAGGGTTTATGGTTTTAGGTTTTAGGATTTAGGTTTAGGGATTATGGTTTTAGGATTTAGGGTTTAGGATTTAGGGTGTAGGGTTTAGGACCCATCCAGCCCAAAAAGAAAGCCTACCCCTGGCCCTTCAGGAACAGGTCCCGAACGTAGTTCGGTTTAGGGTTTAGGGTCTAGGATTTAGGGTTTAGGGTCTAGGGTCAAGGGTTTAGGGTCTAGGGTCAAGGGTTTAGGCTTCAGGGTTTAGGATTTAGGGTTTAGGATTTACGTAGTTCTGCCCCTTCAGGAACTCGGAACACTACAGCACCCTTACGAAAAGGGCCCTAGAAGCGACCCGAACCTAGTTCTGCCCCTTCAGGAACTCGGAACAAGCCTTCTTGCCGGCGCCGCTGTCATCCCCGGACTTCTTCGCCTGCGCCTCCTCACGGGCGACCTCCAGGATCTGGTCCAGCTCCTCTTTCGACGTTTAGGGTTTAGGGTTTAGGGTTTAGGGTTTAGGGTTTAGGGTTTAGGGTTAGCCAAGAAGTTGATTGAAACCTGTATCTTAAAGTCTCAAATCCTGCTTCTTCGGACACCCATGAGCCCCCAACTTGAACAATAAACCCTAAACCCTGAACCCTAAACCCTAAACCCTAAACTCTCAACCCTAAACCCTAAACTCTAAACCCCAAACCCTAAACCCTAAACGAGAGACTCCACCCTCGTCCCGAAAGTCATAGCAACCCAAAGCCTTAAGAACCTAAACCCTCGCCACCAGAGCTCCAATCTAGGGGCCTTAAATAAATACAATAAAGAAACCACCCAAAATAGTAGAGGCAATTATTTAGACCCTAGGCCCCCATATTCACCTCCCAGCCCGGAGATGCTAGGCCCTGGACCCTAGGCCCTAAACTCTCAACTCTGAACCCTTACACGAAGCCCAAACCCCTAAACCCCGACCCCTCAGAATATAACGCCGAAAACCATAGAGCCTGGCCTACACCACACAATCAATCAGACCCCTGGCAGGATCTAGAAAGTGGAACCCCCAAATTTAGGACCCTGTGCTACTGAAGGTTCATTATAGGAACACCCCATTAAGGGATTTACTTTCCAGATCCTCCCGGCAAAAAAACCCTCAACCCTCAACCCTAAACCCTAAACCCTAAACCCTCAACCCTAAACCCTCGACCCTAAACCCTAGATGACTCCTTGCGAAGGCAGAGCTTCCGCTCCAAGAGCGGCGCTCGTTTCGCCTGCTTCCACTCGTTTAGGCAGGCCCCAAACTCCACAATCAGGCTGATGTCCTGGTGTAGGGTTTAGGGGTTTAGGGGTTGAGGGGTTGAGGGGTTTAGGGGTTTAGGGTTTAGGGTTTAGGGGTTTGGGGTGTAGGATTTAGGGTTTAGAGAGGGTTTAGGGCGCTGGCTTTAGGGATTGGGCTTGTGCATGTCGGGGTTGTCGTCCTATCAGGACGACAGAACTATGCAAAGCTTGGGGCGCGGGTCTGGTGTCTAATGCCGCCTGCAATCTTCAACGGTTTAGGGGTTTATAGGGGTTTAGGGTTTAGGGTTTAGGGTTTAGGGTTAAGGCAGCAGATTCCAGCCTTAATCAGGGTTGAGGGATACTGTTGATGGTATAAATCCTGCCTTACCTCAAGGACCCTAAACTGGGAATTGCGGTATATCCCTTGTTAAGGGTAAGTGCAGGATTTATATCATCACCATAGGGATTGGGGTTTTGAGAGTTTAGAGAGTTTGGGTTTAGGGTTTAGGGTTTAGGGTGTAGGGATTGGGGGTTTCAGAAGGGTATAGGGCCAGTATAGGGTTTACTTCGCAGCTTGCGCCGTCTTGGACCATTCGAAGACCCGAACTGCGCGCACCTGCACCCGAAGCCCAGAGTAAGCCCCTCCCAAAAACATCTTGGAGCTTGAAACTCAAAACCGGTGCGCTTCGTCGTTGGGAGAGGGTTTAAGTATGAATTTTCACGCCCCTATGTTTGACCCTATGCTATAACATAGGGGCCTTAATAATTAGAATAGGGCTTAGGGGTATATTAAACTATACTTGCAATAAGGAACCCCAAACCCTAAACCCTAAACCCTAAACCCTAAACCCTCAACCCTAAACCCTAAACCACCAAAAAAAACACCCTAAATCAGCTTCCAAACCGGCTGCCCCTAACGTCGGGCCAGGGCTCTCCCGTCAAGACCAGCTGGGCGAAGGTCCTGAAACGGTTTAGGGTTTAGGG